ACCTGATAAAAAAAATCTAAAATAAATTTTGAAGCACGACCCCTTAAGAAAAAAGAACTAATCTTAAGTAAAGAATAAGTTTCATTTCCAACTTAACCAACTTAAACAAGATTTGACCTGACAAAAAGAATCACAAAATTTTGACCTACGATCCCTAACAAAAACGAACTAAAAGAACTGATCTTTAAATAAAGAATTAGTTCTATCTCCAACTTAAACAATATTTGACCCGGCGAAAAGATATTTAAAGAAATTTCGATAATAAAAACTTACCACCGTAAACAAAAACGAACTAAAAGAACTTATCTTTAAATAAAGAAATATTTCCATCTCCAACTTAAACAAGATTTGCCCTAACAAAAGGAATCTAAAAAAGTTTTGATTTACGACCCCTGACAAAAAAAAGAACTGATATTTAAAATAGAATAAGTTCCATATCCATATCCCAATAAACACAATTTGACCTGATAAAAAAATCTAAAATAAATTTTGAAGCACGACCCCTTCACAAAAAAGAACTGATCTTTAAATAAAGAATTAGTTCTATCTCCAACATAAACAATATTTGACCCGACGAAAAGATATTTAAAGAAATTTCGATAATAAAAACTTTTAGTCAAAAAAATTAAAAATAATTAATTGGTAGGTACTTACCAAATTCCTTGATGAGTCCTGGTTAAATCGTATTATTCTTACATGGTTGTCTTATTTCTTATTATCCATTGGTAAATAATTAATTGGTAGGTACTTGCCAAATTCCTTGATGAGTTCTGGTTAAATCGTATTATCCTTATATGGTTGTCTTATTTCTTATTATCCTTGGGTTAATGCTATAACATGTTGAACCTAGAAAAAAATACAATTAGACGATTTAAGGGCTGCAACTTTTATGTTTTTATTTTTTTAAATATCAAAAAAATCGTAGTAATATTTGAGATAATAGATGCGTTAGAATTCTAATAATACGTATATAGGTAGGTACCTAGCAATTTGTATACAAATAAATCTATAGATGTAGATCAAAGTAATAAATGAGCATCTTTGTCGTATCAAAGCCAAATTACAACTAAATGGTTGATTACGTTGTGGGGATTATAATTATTTTTATCAGCAAAAACAAAAAAAGGGTGAGTCAGACTTGCGCGATAAACATATTACGTTAAGGGTGACAAATTTTAATTATAGATATATTTGTTATTTATTATTTTATTAATACTTAAATAATCTAATTTCGATTATACAGTTTCCCAAAAATTACGCACCATTTTGAGTTATTAGGGTTTAAAAATTTAATTTAGTTTGTGTTATTTTCCAAAGACGTTTTGAAAATAAAAAGTTAAATAAGAATTATTTTTATATGTATACTTTTTATACTTATTGCAACCATGGTTGATATTTTTGTTGAAAATATTTAACTCAAAAATTATAGATATATACAGTGTGACCCATTTGTTTGCGACTCACCCCTGTAAAATCTTTATTTATTGTGCGACTTTAACCTGATTTGTTTTAAAGTGTAGATAAACTGTATTTTTGGAGCAAAATACAAGGCCTACAATGTCAGTTTTTGGGAGTAAATTTTTAAGAATTCATATTAGCGATTTTTTTAAACAAAATCTAAGCACGGCACTGGATTCACCACCCCTCAAATCAACCCTACATTATATTTTATTGAAAAATTTTAAGTAGAAAAATGCACAATAATAACCACAAAATTTTATCATGTCAAGTTATCCATGAAAAAACATTGAAATAAAATTAAACTAATAGTAACATGGTACTATTGCTCAGATTTTGTTTAAAAAATCGCTAATATGAATTATTAAAAATTTACTCTAAAAAACTGAAACAGTAGGCCTTGCATTTTGTACTAATATAGCGTATTTTGCTCCAAAAATACTGTTTACCAAGATCTACACTTTAAGACAAATCCGGTTAAAATCGCACAATAAATAAAGATTTTACAGATGTGAGTTGCAAACAAATGGGCCACACTGTATACAAAAATACAAATTTTCTAAAGGTTAAAATCAAAGGCAATTTTATAAATAAAAGTGGACTAAACAAGTTTGAAGAAATTTAGTTAAAAAAACTTAAAAATTAGCGAATAAATACCCAGGAACCTACTTTTATTTTAGTCAAAAAATTTAAAAATAATAAATTGGTACTTGCCAAATTTATTGATGAGTTCTGGTTAAACCCCATTATCCTTATACATATATATGGTTGTCTTATTTCTTAATATCCATTGGCTTAATAGCCCATGGCTTTAACATGTTGGTCCTAGAAAAAAAATACAATTAGACCATTTAAGGACTGCAACTTTTATGTTTTTTATTTTTTTTAATATTAAAAATATTTGTGTTATTATTTGACCTAATAGATGCGCTAGAATTCTAATAATACCTAGCAATTTGTTGATGTAATAAATGAGCATGTTCGTCTCATAAAAGCCAAATTCCTACTGAACGGTTGATTACGTTGTAGGGATTATAATTATTAACAAAAACAACCAAAAAAGAGGGTGAGTCAGACCTGCGCGATAAACATATTACGTTAAGCGTGACGAATTTCAGTTGGCAAGAGTGGTCCCCAGGAAACAAAAAGTTAGCAGCACTGGAGAGAAAACGATGCGTTTACAGATTTATAGATTGCCTTCCTTCCTTCCTCCTGTAAAAGATGAACAATAGGAAAATCGTAGTTATAGATTCCCGTACGGAAATCTATAAACAAAACGGTTTTCGTATTGTTCATCTTTTACGGGATGGCAACATTGCACAGCAGTGTCGCCAATAAGAGAATATTTATATTCTACGCTAAAGGTATGTATCTTTGAAATTGGAGTCACAACAAACGTTTTTTGAAAATAGATAATATATAAAGTTATAAAGTTAAAGTTTTAAAGTGCTCTTTATATATATATATAAATATTATATAATATAATAAAAAAGCTGTCTTTATTAAAATTCTCCTGCTACTTCTAGTAGCCTATTGGTAAAAAAAAGGGGCAAAAATGTGGGCTCCTGCTTCTCATAAACCTATACGTCATCTGAACTATAATTTTTCTAAAAAATACTATAATTAAATTGAGAAAATACTATAATGTGCATCTCAAGAGTTGTCAACCCTGGCGGCACGTCAGTGTATGACGAATTTCATCCATTACGTCACTAGCGTGCCCGTAAAAACTAAATTGCAGGCACTCTAACGTGCACGTAGTCACTGCGAATATATTAACCTACCTTTAAAACAGATATTCTTATTCCATAATAGAGAAGCTAGATTTTTTTTAATAAATGCTGTTTACTTAAAATTATTTTATGGAGAAAACCAGATATTTGGACCAAATGCACAAAAATATTACTTATTTGGCACCATACACTTTAGAATTTCATTAAATGCAGTATTTATATTCTTATATTCTTAAATTCTTAAACCATCCATTGTTATTCTAATGTTATACATTTTTAACGCCTAAACATAATATTATTTCTTTCGTTGACTATACTTTGACAGATACATAACCTGAAAAGCCTTAACTGCAAATTTTCAAAAGACTGCGTTCCGTACGTGGTCACGTGGTGGGACATTGAGGTGTGGAGCATAGTACATCATGACATCGTATTGATGGCGTCACTTTAAGTGGGCGTCTAGACGTCGTTAGTAATAGCGACCAAGTCCAAGAAGTGAACGCGTGGTCTGAATCGATCTCATTGCTCTTCCATATATGGTAGGCCATGATTGCCAGCCCGCTCTGTTGTTTGTTTGTGCGATTCGCATGTAGAAGATATTTATGTTTATTTGCCTGACTGTGATCAGATTGATGTCGTAAAATTCGAATGCTATTCACAGTTATTTGCAAGGGTTTAACACTCTGATTCCCACATATTTTTAGTCAGAAGAACATCAAACTGCCTAAAATGTTGTTTATGAGTTTTAGTATGAAATTTATAACAGTTTATGAAATTATTGGTTAAATAGGAGTGATTCCATGTAGGTGTGCCAGGTTTTCCTTTGCCAAATCAATAACCCTGGAGAAGTACCCTGGAGAAGTACTTTTCTCTATATACCTAATAAGATTTAGTATCTACCCCACTCTGTATATTGAACTGTGTCTTAATCGGTTATTAACTTTTTTAAATTCGTTATGTAGGTACTCCACTCAAGGCTTACCGTGGGTTTAGAGACCAGTTGCGAAAATCAATGCAAAATAAATAATGGATTTTTAATTGGCGGGTTAAAAAACGGGAGTTTGTAACAAAGAACTTGTGTTTTATTTATTAGGCTCTCCAACGTGTGTAGGTTTAAGCAGGATACAGTTTTTATGCTGGTTTAGGAGTAAGAACTATTGAAAAAACTAGATCAAGTAGGTATATCTAAATAGGTAGATAAATCGTTTGTTGGTTTAATTTAAATAAAATGATAATTATAATTAAATGTTTTTCCTGAGAGTAAAACATGTCCATGATGCCAAGTTTAAAAACTGATGGCATTTTTTGATGACAACTTTAGCACTGAATTGCAAAGAGGACCTTCAAAGTTTTATTTTGAGATTATCACTGCAAAAATTTGATATAGTTATATAGAAGATTTCCAGATTCGATAGAAATTTTAGTCACAAAATGGGTAAGAATTGGTTACCTGTATAAAACTACGAGATTTTAAGCTTGCTTTACAAAGAGCCAAACATGTTACACCAATCTAACAGTGTCAATTGGTACTTTGTGCCAAAATATTATTTGATGTTTTGAACGTATTTATATTTTAAGTAATTGCCAAAGATTATTTTTTTATTTTGTAGCGTAAAACTTACAATGGACTGTACCTATTTACGTACGTATTTATATAAAGTACTTACTTAACTGTAGGTATGCAACAAAGAAATTCCAAGTGATCTGGATTGCCTACCTTCTTTCTATTTCAACAATATTCAGATTCTCCAATTAAAAAACTATTTTCTCATAAAAATTTATTTAAAATTACTTATACAAGGCGTCCCGTCAAATGCCTGTGATATAAAATAAAACTAACTCTAAAATCGCCAAACAAAATACATGGGGTCGTTATCAAAATAATAGGCAGTCTTTATTAAAGCCCAACAGTAGTCGGACCTACAGACCAAACCATCTAAACAGCCACTTTCTTCAGTACACTTAACGTTTACTTTATCGTAGGTCTTGGTTAACACCTCCTGAAAAGCCTTCTGGGCTTCCAAGTTTTCACTTGACGATTGGCTGTCTTCGCAGGTTTTCCAAGTCTCGTAGCAAATGGACAAGTTTGAAGCCAAATACTGGGTGTTTACTGGCAGCTGGTATTTGAGCAAGTTTTCCCGACTTTTGAAGGTATCCCCGGAAGAAAAACTTTGGACGTTATTTTTGAATAAGGAGGTTTCGACGTCTTTTAAACACGAACAAATCCACTGGTTGGGGTGAATACTGGCACTTTTAACTTTGGCTTCTTCTATGACCTCTTTGTCTAGGTTATCAATGAAGTTGAAAGCAATCACAAATTTATCTACTTTATTGACGTTCGCCAATAAATTTGGACTCAAGGTGGTTAGTTTGTTGAACGAGACGTCGAACAAAGTTATGTCTGCATTATGTCTGAATATATCCCCGGATATGTACTCAATCTCGTTGAAGCTGAAGTCCACAGTTTTTATTTTCGGGAAATTATAGAAAGCTTTCTTGGTGATGGACTTAATCTTGTTGTGGTGAATGTTTAAAGTTTCCAGGTTGCTGCTTTTACCTTCGAGGGCGAACCATCCAGGATCGAAGTAGACCAAGGAGTTCTTGTCCAAGTAAATTTCCCTTAGAGTCTCCATGTCAGCGAATGCTTCCGTCTCTATGGTGTGGATCTTATTGCCCGCCAAGTAGACGTAATACACCGGCAAGGAGTTAAAAACCCCGAAAGGTATTATTTTCAACAGACTTCCGCCCAAGTAAATTCTTTTGAGGCTCGGTAGGTTCGAAAAACACCAAGGTTTCAACTCGCGTAACTCGCCCGGGGTCACCGTTATGTCCATAAGCCCCTCTTCGTCACCAAAGTGATTTTTCTTCAGAACTTTCGTTTCACCAGGAACAACCAAATGCACGTTGTTGGATGTCATTGGTTCGCACTCTTCCAGCTTGTAGTTTTTGCATCTTCGCATTGAAATCCCATTGTAGGTGTAACTTGCACTAACACTTACTATCGAGAGGACACAGACAAGGACGAGGCTGTTCATAGCGAATGTAGTAACTGGAATGAGATGGGCAAAATACTTTAAGAAAAAAAATTTACTTCTTCCAAATGATCATAAAACCGGTTTTATTGTTTAACATAACAGTATATAATTTAATTTGTTTACTATACACAACGAATTTAAAAATTTGTATTTTCCATGGTAATCAAGGCATCAATTACACAGTAATCCAGGGAAGGATTTAAACATTTTATCGCCCACCAAGTATAAACACAAAATAGATATTTATGTGATTAGGTTAAGAAGTAAGTCTTTCTATGCTGAGCAAATGTATAAATCATTCCATTTAAAAGTTATTTAGTAGTTTTATTTGATCCAAATCGGAAAGGTTATGTCCAACATTCGTACCATTTGAGAAAGAATTACCCATATATGTGTGTGTTTCGTTCACTTGCTATCAAAACATAGATTACCTTGAATAAAAGAAACTTTCAGGTTAGTACTTTACTGAAAATAAAATAAATATATATATAGTGGGTATGCAAAATATTCCTACTAAGTAATGGTGGTTGCCTACCTTGTATACAAAAAAGTTCGCACGTTACTTTGGTGGTAAGATTTTTGTTTTTTTTTGTTAAGAGCAGGGCTGTGGGTATTCTTATGTAAAATTGTCCCCTGAATCCGAAAAGACCGTCAAAAACTATATAAGTTAAGCAGTTTTTGAGATATAGTCAATTCCATATTATATGTAAAATTGATTATATCTTAAAAACTGTCCTAAACTTTTGACGACATTTTCGGATTCAGCGAATAATATTTTATAGGAATTGACTGCTAAATGTCCTGGATACAAATTGCTGTTGACGAGAATTATTAGTGGCTGCTTTTTCGCTATGACATTTTTGACTAATTCATTTTTAGAGAGTAAGTAATATAGTGATTTCTTCGTCACAGGACATCTTGCAGAATAACAGTGATTTAAATACAGTGCATGATAGAGAACATAAAAAACTAATGGCAACAAAATTAATAAATTCGGAAAATACTTAACATACTATATATAAATCATCCTGTTCCGGCCTAAACATTATAAATGCTTCACAAACTAGAGATACCACACTTAATGATATTTGCCACAAACTATTTCAGAAGTCAGACCAAGTTACCTTCAGAATCCAGAAAAGGGATGAGGAATTCCTTAAGTGTCCAATAACTATGTATTTAAATCTCTATTATTTTTTTATAAATATTTATTTAAAACTACTTATATATAAATACATTTACAATATCAACATTATTGTACAATAATTAAATTAACTGCTGATAGGATACCAAACAAATTCGAAGCTCTTTAGTCCAAATGTTTTTTCAGATCCTTCTTTGGGGGTTTCGTCAGAGTCCAAGCCAAGTCTAAAAACAATGTTTCGATTTAAAAAAAATGTTTTAAACGCAAATATTTTGTAGATATAGTTATTTTAGATTTACTTACCTGACAAATTTAAATTTGGGTCTGTAGCCGTTTTCATCCGCGACGTACGTGACGATTCTGCTGAGTCCATCTCTTCCATTCACGAAGTATCCTCCAACTTTGGCCCCGTTTTTCAACCCTTTCTCCCAGTGTCCATGGAACCCGACTGTGTAGTGGAATTTGTACAATAAATTTGTGATGTCTTTTTCATCTATTCCTTCTGGCAAACCTTCACTCATACCTTAAACATTTCCGCATGGGTATGTGATATTTGGGTTAATATTTTTATTTTACCTGGGAATTTGTCTTTGATTTCAATTGTCTGTGGATTTTTACCACCTACTTGAATGGTGTTATCTTTTACAGCGATTGGAGGAAGTGTTGACAATCCTTGGTTTTCAACCTAAAAAAATCAAAATATTTTTATTTTAAGATTGTTATCAACAAAAAAATACCTCTGGAATGGCAAGAGGATTGGGTTGTAGCCCATCAGGTCCTTGAGGCACACCACCACTTCCTTGCTGTCCAAAACCATTTGCAGTAGTACTTCCTTGTGAACCAGTGTTTTCACCATAGCTATTTTCTTTTCCAGTACCTTGTACACCATCTTGCAAACCCGCATTTACATTTTGCTGACTTCCATAAGCATTTCCTTGCCCACTTAATCCAGTGAGCCCACTATTTCCTGGTTGATTTCCTTGGAAAGCTCCCTGGGTATTTCCTTGTAGATTACCTTGGACAACACCCTGGGCATTTTGTTCTTGATTTTTATCCTGTAAAGCAACATTGACACCTCCTTGTATATTACCAGCAGCTTGTCCTTGACTACCACTTAAACCTCCTTGAGCAAGACCTCCTGGTTGTCCTTGACTACCAATTAAACCTCCTTTAGCAAGACTTGGTTGTCCTTGACTACCACTTAAACCTTTTTGAGCAAGACCTCCTGGTTGTCCTTGACTACCACTTAAACCTCCTGGATGCCCTTGACTTCCTGTAAAACCTCCTTGGAAGTTACCTTGACCAACCCCACCTGCATATCCTGCTTGCTTGAATTGTTCTTGATTAACTCCTCCTTGAAGGTTACCTTGAGGGTTTACACCTCCAAAACCTCCTTGTTTAGTTTGTTCTTGATTTTTACCCGCTTGGTAGTTAACTTGGTTATCTTGGCCATTAATTGAAGATACATAAGGAGCACCACCTTGTTGTTGAGAAACACCATTGAAACCTCCTTGGGTATTTCCTTGAGAAGTTGCTTGGAAACCTCCTTGAAGGTTTCCTTGTGAAGTTCCTTGAGAGGTAGCTCCTGATCCTTGATTTTCAGTATTTTGAATGCCATAAGATCCATTACTACCATTATTTTGAAAAGCTGGTGTTTGGAATGGAAAAGGTTGCCCTGGTACAGGTTTGGAAGTTGTGACGTACCCGCAACCTGCGCAGGCAGGTTTGATTGTAGGTTGGGTGGTGAATTCGTAAGGCTTTTTGGTGGTAGGTTGCTAAAAATATAAGAAATATTTCGGATATTTTAAGAAAAAAATAAATTAAATGTACTTGAGCTTGTTGTACTGGAGGCTGACTTGGTTTGGGTTCTGGCAGTTGAAGTGGTAGTGGTTGTGCTTTTGATTGTTGTCCTGATTGTCCTTGAACACTTTTGGCATCAGCCGATGGTCCAGGTCCTGGAGATCCATCCAGTGCTTCAAAAGAATCATATAAGTAAAAACATAGCAATTCAAGGGGATATTTTTTCTTACGAGCACTTATCCTGACGTTTTTCATGCTCAAAATTTTGAAATTTCCATTTTCGTCAGTGGCATAAACGGTGACGTGGTAAATGCCATCGGCAGTGACGAATCCGAACTCTCCTTGAATTATGCCATTTTCGTCTAAAATATAATTTATCACCACTATATACTATATTATTTATGTTTATTTTTTTCAAAAATACTTGTTTGCACCCAGGATGTGATTAGCGTAAATTATGTCCACAAATTGTATATAATATGAATTCATTATATTTTATTTATAGAGAATTGCGTTGTTCATACAAGTATTTATATACCATTTTATTAATTATTTCTTAAATGTTTATTTCAATAATTCCGCATGGGTTTTTGACCTTACGATTGGCAAACACCTTTAATGTTTTAATGTAAACAGTTACCTTTTTTCATTCATAATTTATTAGATTTAAAGGTTACTTTACTTTTATAAAAAATGTTTTTTATATTGTACCTTTTTTCTCATGCCTGTGCTGTTGTCCATCAATTTTGAACCCAAATTCGTAAGCTCTTCCCTCGTCATCATTTTTCTTTTGAGCCTCCGAAATGCACACACAAGATACCAAAACGGTAAAAATGGCAATCTGGAAAAAATAACTTGGGATTAGTTTGTAAGTACAAAATCGATTTATTTTACATTGACATCACTGCAAAGGTGAAGGTAACGTTTTTATTCACCATTGATACTAAATATGATACTAGTGTTTTTTACAATAAATAATACAACCGATTTATATTAATTTGACAGAATTAATTAAAAATTTTGATTTATAGTATTTATTTATTATTATATAAGATTTTATTGTCTAGATAATATATTTTAGGTCCAAATTATTCAAATAAAGTTGAGTTATTTGCATTGTATTACAAAAGCACAATATTTTAATTGAATCTTGAAATGACATCATACTGGATAGCATCTATTAGGGTTATAATGTAATAAGTGCTTGATTAAACAATATATTCTACCTATAGATATGCTATGGCCTTATTAGTACACGTTTACAATGAAGGTTATATTAAAACTATTAATATACTTATATGCATTGTTTATGTCTTCGTAATATTTTAAATCAAAATGTTTATTCATTGATTTATACGCACAAAATATACAGGGTCGGCAATTTCCTCTGAATAATATTTTCTAAAATAATACTTTTAGTTATAGAATTAATTAAAAAATAAATTTAATATTGCAAACTAAAATATCGCAAATGGGTTAACCTTTCAAAATTAAAATTTAAAAAAAAATCAACTTGTTATCAATTAATAATACTTAATTTAGAGATACCAATTAGATAATATTTATATCAAAAAATAAACCAAATTATAATATATTAATATTAAACAATTAATAGCAACAAAAACTGGATTCGGCAGCAAGTTTCAATTTATCATAATTAAAATGGACATTTCATTATTTATTTTTTGTTTAAAAAAATACTATTAAATTTCTGTATCTATTTTGCGTTCATAATGACTTCATTATAACACCGCTTTCGGTGCTGTAATGAGATACTTGAGCCGCTTATTGTAAATAAGTAAATTAAGGACGGCATGGCGAATCGATTTTGACATTAACTGTCAAACCAATGACTGTGATACCAACTATCTAAAGTAAAATTCGACCAAATTAAATTTAAGGTATAAAATTAATTTTTTTATAGAATTTTTGCAAAATAGATAAAATAGCATAAAGAACTCATGTCATAAGACCTTTTGTCGCACTCGTCCATTACATAAATTGTCCGCGTGCGACAAAATGAAATTAGTTCTTTAATATACGTTAATTACTGAAATAGTATTTTTTATTGTGCGAACACATTGTATCTACTTCCACAATGACAAGCTGTAAATTAAGGGCTGAAGTTAGGTTTATTAAATATTGCCAAAAAGTGAGGTTAAATTTGTCTGACAGGTGTTTAATGTTAAAAAATTGTGTATTTACAAAATAACACACATATAAAAACAGATGCCATAAAAACAAAATAAAGAAAGCATCTGCAGCTAGCTGACAGTTTGTTTATACTTTTATAAAAAAAAGTTTAAAATAACAAAGCAATTAAATAAAAAAGTTACCCACACATAAAATGTATATAATATTTCTTAAATTTTGCTTAAAATTAATTAAATTAATTCTAGATATTGTTTATATATTACATTTTTTTTATACCGGGTGGTGGGTTTTTACTAAAACGATACCAACTTTTTTTATTTTCAATGAAACCCTATATTTTTTGATTTTATTCTATTTGTAATGTAATAGTTGAGGGTAAAGGTCATTTTATTTTTTTATCAAATATAAGACTATATTTTTTTTATAAATAGCTATAATAATTTAATTTTTATGTACGAAGATAAAATATTTGTCGTAAATTTTAAATTACCAATATAATACACGTAATGCATAAATATTGTTAGTGTCATTATGTAATGGTAATTTTAATCTATTTTATTGTTGTAATAAGAATTAATCAGTTAATAAAATGTAGTAAGTAAAAAAAAATTAAAATCACCTCAAATATTAGTAGTTAAATCAAAATATTTATTTACCTTTTTGTAGAAGTTCATTTTAGTTCCTTTGGTCTACTTCCACTACACTACACACAAAATTTAAAAAAATCCAAATGTTAAGTCCTTGGTCATTTGCGGTTGTTAATGTGTTTTCCGCAAGAATTTTTAATAATTTGTATTGGCTGACATTGCCATCTTTTCTATTATATGTGTTCATCTTCTCATAGTATAGCGGTGGCGGGAGAGATTTGACAGTAGTCGATAGGTTATTGTTTTTTCGCTTACTTACTTAATTTGGGTGCTATTAAGTATATGATTTTAAAGTCGCTCTTGGTTAAAAATTCGAAATATATATATACATTTTTTAGACCTCTTATTGTATTTTTTTAATATTATTTTGTTACTATAATATTAAAATAGTTTTTTCAATAAGATTTAAAATGTTTTTTTTTTAACTAAAATTTCCCTAACCATTTATAGTTTTTAACCTATTGACATACACATTTTATTATTTTTTTTTAAATTTGTCCTTTTATTTAAAAGACATGAAAATCACTTTGATTCAAAGGATTTGCGCTTTTGAATAGGGCTATATTATTATTATTATTATAATATTAATAATACTTATATAAAATGCTCTAATAATAACAACAAAAACTTGAGACACCCAATATAAAAATTTATGTCAGCTTTTTAAAAGTAGATAGGGTAAAGTAGACAGTTATCAGACACTTTTTAGTTATTGGACAATTAACATTAATACTGTAAAAACAAGAGTTCTATAGAACTAACTATTTATATATAAATAGTTACTTTAAAGTTAAATCATAAGATGACGCTGTATACAATTATAACTATCTCAGTCGGTAATAATATAGAACTACTTTATTTTGGATCCAATACAGGACAAAAAGTTCGCACGTTACTTTGCAAAGTAACACCATGGTGGTAAGATTTTTGTTTTTTTTGTAAGAGGAGGGCTATGTTTAAATTACAATAAATAATATTTTTAATTAGTCTACAGATCAGTGTATGGTATAAACATTGTCACTGTATTGCGATTTAATTTTAATTCTGAAAACAAACAGTAAAATGGCTGTGTCCAATTACTGGTTGGTAAAAAATGTAAATTTCTATTATTGTACATATGTCCAATATCATACTGTATTCGTATCCCGGACATTTGCCAGCCAATTCTTATGTAAAATTGTCCCCTGAATCCGAAAAGGCTGTCAAAAACTATAAAAGTTAAGCAGTTTTTGAGATATAGTCAATTCCATATAATATGTAAAATTGATTATATTTCAAAAACTGTTCTAATTTTATAACTTTTGACGACATTTTCGGATTCAGCGAATAATATTTCATAGGAATTGACTGCTAAATGTCCTGGATACAAATTGCTGTTGACGAGAATTATTAGTGGCTGCTTTTTCGCCATGACATTTTTGACTTATTCATTTTTAGAGAGTAAGAAATATAGTGATTTCTTCGTCACAGGACATCTTGCAGAATAACAGTAATTTAAATACAGAACATAAAAAAGTAACGGAAACAAAATTAATAAATTCTGAAAATACTTTTGACATACCACCCGAAAAAATATTAGATATAAATAAATCATCCTGTTCCGGCCTAAACATTATAAATGCTTCACAAACTAGAGATACCACACTTAATGATATTTGCAACAAACTATTTTAGAAGTCAGACCAAGGAATTAGTAGTTACCTTCAGAATCCAGAAAAGGGATGAGGAATCCGAGAAAGAAATATATGAATTATATGGTATTTACAAAAACGAAATAAAAAAATTATCTAAAACAGCAATTTATCTTTAAAAAATATTTAACAATTTATGTTATTTGATGTAAAGTTGTTATGTTTATATAAAAATTGTATGTCCAATAACTATGGTCCATGTGTCCAATTACTATACTTTTTTGCATGTTTTTATAAAACTATTATTAAAAATTCAAATATTCTTATTTTTAACAAAGTGTCCAATAACTATGTGGTTTACCCTAGTAGTTTTTCGATTTTAATATGTTTATATTATTTAGTTCCGGGAAACTATTTACAAAATCCTAATTTAGTTAACACACGTTGCATTCTAATTTTACTCAAGGCCTAAAAATAAATTCACACAATGCCATTTTTATTTGCGTTAAATTTGTTTCATTATATCACTTTTGCAAACATTAAAAATCGCTATAAAAATAGTAAATTTAATCATAGATCCTAGTAATATGTCTTTAAAGTTTTATTTGTTTTATTAATAATAAACTAACTCCATACCAGTATAAAACATCAACATAAGAAAGAATAATTGCAATGGGAATGCAAACTTTTGGCAATGAGTGTAGAGCGTACTAAAAAAATTAAATGGTGTCCTTCTTAAATTAAATATTTTACAAAGGATTCTTTCATAAAACTATTGATTGTATTGTAAGTAATAATTCACCAATTAAGGAAAATAAAGGTTATTAAATCCAAAGTAACCTCCATATAATTAAATATAATATAAGGTTTTTTTTTGAATTACAAATATAATTTTTAATAATACCTTGTCAGGCAGATTGTTTATTGTATCTTTATTTATTAAGAAAATTTATAGTACTATTAATAAATTGTAATATTATAATTATAATTTTGAATACAACTTAAATAAATTAATATATTAAAATCGTGATTTAAACATTTTTATTTCCAAACAAATTTTCAACTCCAATAGACTTTTTTATTTAAAAAGTTTTTTTCGTTTTATTTGGGCCACCCTGTATAAAATGCATTATAAAACTTAAGATAAAAATAGAAATACAAAATAAAAATATTTAATACAATAAATCAGACGGATCGTGGTAAGCCTTGTACATGGTTTTAATAATATCCGTTTATTGTTTATAAATTAAAAAGGGAAAGGGCATATAATGGACGCAGAGGAGTGGTAATACCAGTATTAAGCATGTGATGTTTGCCATATCCATATCCTTCATGATTTTTTTTAACAATATATGCCAACTAAATGTAAAATTTAATTGGTGGATACACATCTTATTGAATAAAGCATAACAAATGCTATATAGGTACAGTACAGTGTGGTTTTCACTTATAGAATAAAATTCTACTATCCTTTTTCTATACGAATTTATTTAAATGACAACTTTCCACACAGGTGGATCGAAAGAAGAGGTTTCATAGAATGGCCAGCAAGATCACCAGATCTAACACCTTTAGACTTTTTTCTATGGGGACACTTAAAACACAACCTGCTAATTTAGATGAATTAGGAAATTGGAAACATAGCACTAGAGGTTTTAAACAGTAGATTACTTAAGTGTCAGGACTTTTTTTTAACAACTGCAAATTAAAAATTACAATATAATATTAATATATTGCTAAGCACCACTTATAAATTAATAAATCACTATCTTCGCTCAAAATATTATGTATATTTATCTTTGTTTGACCATAATAAAATATTAATAACAATTTTATGGTAAATTTAGCATAATTATTAATCAATTTTAATTAATTTATTGATTGTAAATTAACTCCATCTACCTTTAGGGTTTCAAACTTCCATTTTAAATTTGTAGATATTGCTTTTAAAATTAAAATGCATAAATAAATAAAGTAAAAGTCGATGGGATGGACCCAAGGTTGTATTTAACTAATAGTATTGTAAATTGCGATTTTTGTAGATTATATCTATTTTTATATGTGGCATTTAAAATCGTGCAAAATAAAAATATAATTTTATACTAATAATATTAATTTGCGGATAAGAAAAATATGTGTAGGTAGAATATTATAAAATTATGTTGTAAAAGTCCTTAATTGAGGTATTTGTTTATCCAAAGCTTTATATATTATTTTTTAATATATAGATAATAATATCTATGATTTAATACAGATTTCTTTTTGGTTAAGAGAAAGTCATCGAATGTATTGAAGACCACCTTTTAAATAAACTGCTTTAACATTTCATTTAAAGTTACTTGCGACTCCGCTCACCAGGGTTCTCTACTGGTACTGTTTAGGAATTTTAAGAAATGTTTTTTATGCCACTAGCCATTTTTTAGGGTTTTAGGGATATTAATTTTGTAACTTAAAACTTTAAAATATATATCTGGAACTTAAAATAGTTTATTATGTATCAAGTTTGATAAACGCGAGTGCTTAAATTAATGAGTGTATAGAAAAGTTTATAAACGAGGTGCATACTATACTTTTTCTACGACAAATAATATCTTAAAATGATTTAAATCAAAAATTTGTATAGAGCGCCATCTATGAAACAATAGGGGAATCTGTGTGTCACCGTCAAATGTCACATTTTTATATTTTATAAACAGATTATAAAGGTTATAAATCGAAATGTATTGCATATTATTATTGGTAAATGTTTGCATTGGATTTTAATGACTTATTTAAAAAAATTATTATTAGTATCAAGTTTGATAAACTCAATTTTATAAACGACTTGCATACAAAACTTTTTCCACGACAAATACTTATTAATATCTAAAAATTAATTATATTTAATATTTGTATAGAGTGACATCTATAAAACAATAGAGTAACATACTTGGGAATCTGTATTATGTCAAATGTCAAATTTTTATGTGTAAATACGATGTATAGAAGCAGTTTTTCACAGTAAAAGTAAAAAAACATGTTTTAATAGCCCTCCACCTGAATTTAAGTTACTGTTTACTATTTTACTGTTCATAATAACTTTTTAGAAACTAAAACTATACTTTTGTTTTTTTTTGTATTGAGATAATAAAATAATTTTTACATTTAGTATTATTTTAAAAGAAGGCCACATTATTTAAATAATGTGGCCTTCTTTTAAAATAATACTAAATGTAAAAATTATTTTATTATCTCAATACAAAATTTAACGATTGTATGACATTTGACAATTGTCAACTAACTTTAGCCCGTGACTAAAAGGCCATAAAGTCACAACGTCAATGTGTATTTAAAAGGTTCTTAATAGCTAAGAAAAATTGTTATCCCTAGTTGTCGGATTCCGACGGAAGTTTGACAACGTGGCATCGTCTCGAAGATACGCGTACCGTACCAAAATGAAAGTGAAAAGAAGACGATCGCATCTCAGCAGGCCGAATCAAGGTAACTAGGATTTGACCTTGACGGCCACTTTCCT